CTCCTACATGATTGCAACTAAAATTTCTATAGATTATTTTTATAAATATAATAATAGATATTGTCGACCATCTGTTAAATATTTCAAAAAATCGTTTCCATTGTATTTTAATACTTCGCTGTCGCGAACCTACGAATTCTTATTTGAGAAGAATGCCCATTATTAAACCATTAGAAAAAAAAACGCTGGCTAGTCTGTTATGTTAACAATGCAGCGAAAATGACAAACGACTAATCCTTCCCGAGAAATTTTCTTTTGTTGTTAGCTACAGTTCTGCCTAAAAGAAAAAGCGTCACTCTCCTCTCTATACACACCAAAACACTTCCTTATTATTGTTTAGGTACGACACTCCCGGCTATTATATTCGAATTTTCTTTATAGCGTCGCGTCACTCGCCAGGCAGTACCCTTTCGCTGTGGCAAAAACTCTCCCAGAGGACGGCACCACGTCAACCAACAACACGAAACGGTACTAAATATACGCGGCCGTGGCCAGCAAAAATGGCATAAACAGTTAAATATTTTGCATTCCCCGGTATATATCTGCGGAAGGATCGAACGGAAACTCGCGTTTTTCGATCCAATATCGAACAACTAGAAATATTTTATTAAATAATGCTTAAAATGGACATAATTCGTGAAACTAACCATTTCGAAATATTATTTATTATTAGTTTTTGTACTAAGAAATTTAAACTAGCCTTCCAGTGGCGCGGGGCTAGGAGGGGCTTAGCCTCCCGTATAAAATTAGTTTTAACCTCAAATCAATATTATCTTATAGTGACCTAAGCTCCCCCAAAAGACTTGAGCCCCCTAAAATCTGTGTCTAGTTGATCCTATGTCCATATATCTGTGTATAATTTTTCTATAGAAATCGTATTCCAAGTAATTATTAGCATTTTTAAAGAATTATTCTTTTTCTCAACATTAGAGGCCGCCTTATACCGGAGACACTGTAACTCCTATTGTCTTTTTGGACCTTGATAGGATGGGAGCATCAATGACTAAAGAATCCAAGGACAAATAACACCCGAAAGCAAATTGTGACGATGTCACCAAACAGTGCCGTGGCACATATTTTTCATAACCTAGCTGTTTGAAGAGATATTTATATTTTTTAATAAATGTTTTGACTACGCCTATGGTATATATGTTGGTATCAAACTAATTATTTACGAAAAAAAACGTATTAAAATGTTAACAAAAGGTACAAAACTAGTATCGACGTATAGGACACATCAAGTACATATAATATCAGAAAAATAATTATCGTATTCAATAAGAAAACTAAAAAAACGCTAAAAAGGTGGAGCGGACTGTGTATTTACCTATGACTTTTTCTTATCGCTGCTGCTTCTACACTTGAAAGCTGGACAACTAATCACCATTGCAATAAAGTTTATACAAACTTCACTACACACAAACTATTAAAAATCGCTAAAATTGTCGCTGGTGACCAGATGATGACTCATTGTTTACCATCAAAAGAATGGTGTCTAAGGTCACAAATTCTGCTGCAGCCCGTATATGGCCGTTACATGCCCTTATATTCTTTAGTCATTGGCGAGCATAGTTCCTCCATTTTCCAAATTAAATTAAGTATAATATAATAATATAAATGGTAGTTAGTATAATATAATAATATAAATAGTATAATAAAGATAAATGGAAGTCGTTGATATGTTTGCGACAGTGATTCCATAGTGATTTACTTATCCACGTAAGTATTACGATCTAGGATTTCAGTGCCGTTTGATACAGTGTTAAGCCGTAGTTCAAAAATAATTTTTAAGAATTTTGATTTAAATTCTTAAAAATAATTTTTGAACTTGAAACTATTAGGTATTTATAGATAAAATACTTCCACTGGAAAGGCCGGGTATATATGAAATTTTATATAAATATATCAGAAATAAAGTGAGATATTGTGACATAGGGTGAGAAGTTGCGGTTAGAAAATCAATATACAGGGTGGTCCGAACTGTATTCCGGAAACTTCGGCAGCATATTCTGCAGATAAAAATAAGTAAAAAAGTTCATATAAATGTGTGTCTTAAAATGCTTAGTTTCCGAGATACAGGCTGTAGAAAATTCATTTTTATTTCGATTTTTTCCAAATAATTTATGAAGAATCTCAAATTCCAAGAGGGTGAAAACGCCCATCAAATATTACAATATTTGTTATTTAAAAAACGGTTAGTCTTTCGGGAAAACGGCTCATAATTAATTTTGTTTTTTTCCATCTTTTGAAATTTTTAAAAAAATCATACAGGGTGTTCCAAAAAGTTGGGTAATTTATTAACCACGATTCTGCTTGAACTGACGTGATAAACTTATTTTTGGCAAACGGATTTTTCGAAAGTCAAAGTCCAACGAGATGAAACTACCCCTCAAATATTACCAAGTTATATAATAATATCGCCATATTGTTTTTTCTCATGCTGACTTAAATGTGAAAAATTTTTATCCAATTTGTATGTTAATGGCAAATTCTTGCTTTGCTTTATCATCACCATTATAAATGATTAATTCGACGCGAACGAAGTCGCGGATACACGCTAGTTATTTTGATAAAATTGAAATAAATATGAAACTTCTACACCCTGTATTTCCGAAACTAAGCATTTTGGGACATACATTTATACGAACTTATTTTTATCTGCAGAATATGCTGCCGAAGTTTCCGGAATACAGTAACTAGAAATAGAAATGAGAAGTCTTTGCTCTATGTGATTTTACAAAATAAAATGAAACATGGAGCATCTCTGTACAGTTTGTAAAAAAAACCATTTGTCTACAGTGCTTAAGAAAAATATGTCTAAATTGCTGAGAGTATAAAAATATGTGAAAATTTACTTATTATTACTTACCGCGTCATTTTTTAAATAATATTTGATTCCCGATTCACAATTGTTTCTATTATATGTATATATTTTTAACTAACTCACACACACACACCTATACACGTATGACCATATTTGTGACAACCGTGCAGTAAAGACATTTGTGGTAGCATCTCTATTTTTGTACGAAATGATACGAACTCGCTGTCCACGACCTAAAAATATAATTTATATGTCTATACACTCCACCGTAAGAAAGTTATTGGCATTTATTAATTGTGGCTGTAGGGATTAAAGGAAAATTATTCAGTGTAGCCGTTAAGGGGTAAGTATATCTAGCATCTCTTCTTGGTAAACTACGCTGCAAATTCAAACATAAATTACGCAAAAAGCAAATGTAAAAGCTTTTAAATAAGCAAAAGATAAAAATGAAAAAGACTTGCGTCTTTAAAACAGGCTTTCTAGTATTTTCCCTGGTTGTTTATCATTTTGTGAATCAGCGAGGAGTATAAGAAGCAAGGTTTCCACCCACGCTCGGTTTAGTGGTTGTTTTTAAGACACAATCGGCGTTTTGTTGTGTCATGGGATGAATTTATGGTGTACGACCGGCTGCAATTACTAAAACAATAAATATGTGCGGCTAGAACGTTGCTCGTTCTTTATTCTTGTTGTCCGCTTTCTTTTAAGGCCGGGGAAAAGTGACTGAAAAGATAAGGCTTTCGCACTCTTTTACATAGCTAAATATATTTTAGGCCAGTAAGCGAAGTATTACCTCCGAATTCTTGACACCCGCATCGATTGACATGAATTAACAGTGTAAAGAGATATATGTAAGAAACAAAAGTTACATAATAGCGATGTCTGCTTTCAGGGGTGAGTGCCACCCTTTCTCGGGGTTGAAAAATAAATCACCCATTTTAATTGCAAAAACCAATAAAGGGATGAAATCTAAGCAAAAAATTTTCTATGACATTTTTTCAATCAAATTTTAATCTCTGTAAAGGTGATTTTTTATTTTTCTAAAACTAAATTGCAATTGTCTTTTCAAGTTCGTAGCTCAAAAACTCGCGGAGTTATGATACATAACTCCATATACCTACAGACATAAAACGGTCATCTCATTTTATGTTACGGAAAAAAATAAGACGTTTCATTTTTCTGAGACCATTACCAACTTCTTTTTTTTTAATAGAGACCTGGATTCTTTATTTCATTTTTTAGAGTAATATGTATATACCGACCTGGTCATCGAAAGTGCGTTGTCTGTATTTTAGTGCATACGACAGAGATAAATATAAATGACTGTTTAACAGATAGAAACAAAAGAAAAAGAGGCATACAGTGTTGCCAGTTTTTTAACCGACAACACTGTTTTTAACCGTTTTTTTAACAGGTGAAAGTTTGATGCAAAATCCGGCAATACCGCATAGAAAAAATGTATCAACCCAACTTTTATCTCTTTTTATTACATTTGATTTTACATTAAGCTGTCTACATCATTGTCTTGCACGTTAAAAATCCAGACCACGCAGTTTCGATGACCAGCTCGGTATATAATTCAATGAGGAACGGACTTACCTAAAAAATGTTTATTTTTTTAGGATGGGTATACGTGACCTGTATACCCATCTCTCTCCAACACATTGCCTCTTACGAGAATCTTCTCAATAAGCGTCTAAAAAATAAACAAAAAAACCTATTTAAAAATAAAGTAGATGGGGGTTACAGAAAGTCAAAACACCGTAAATGTTTTTTGTTGTCATCAAATGACCAAAAGAAAGTTTCTCTAAGATTGTCTTTATAGATTTTTTCCAACTGTCAAAATAAACTCCGAAGAAGTAAAAACAAAAACCGGAAATTGCAGTTTTTCTGCCATATTTCCGGAAATGACACAGATAAGTTCAATTACTAAACGGCTTAGGCTCACTGACAAGCAACTTTGCCCCAATTTAAACCACCCTATATCTTTTACAGTTTCTGAGATCCCAATGGTGATAGCCGCATTTGGAACATCCGGTATATTTAGATATAAGTTATGATAATAAATAATTTTATTTCATTTGGTAATAAACCTTTGGTGATGGTTTGTTTCTATTTGCACCTTTAAGCTTTTCAGCCCTGTCACAGCACATCATCCTGTATATATTACCTTTTTCAGATGTGGCGTTGTACCCAGCACCGCCCAGCTACACTCGCCTTTACCAGTACTACACCAGCCCACCGGGGTACTACTCTACGCGGTACTTGTCAGGTGTGTACATATACATGGATGCGTAGTACAAAAAAGCTTTGCATGAAGATGCTACAGTAACTAAAGTACCTATCTAAATCCAACTAGCAAGAAAATGTCTTTAAAACCTTACATCTTTAAATTTTATTTAAAAATATAACCGAATTAAAAAAAGAGTTTTGCTAGTTGAATTTTCATAAATAATAATTCTTGTGCATGAGTAGTACCCCTGTAGAAGCTATATATGTATTGTGTTAATTATCGATGATTTATACTGTGCAGGCATAACGGCCAGGGTATTTTTTTTTTCAACAAATCCAAAAACACGTCAATTTTGTTTGTGAGGGGGACAACTTTTGTCCCAAAAATGATTGCAAAATCTGCAACCCTCTAAGCGGAGGTGTCATCCACCAAATTTTGGGACGGGGGGTCAGGTGGCGCCGCAGTGAAAAGAGCTTTCTATTCTCTATATTTCCCCGCTTCGTTTTTGAAAATCGGTCGAGTCATTGAGAAAATATGAAGGATTGAAATTTGAAAAGTTTATTTAAACATTTATCAGAGTAAATGATAAGGATAAATTCCTTCGACCAATTTGCTGTTTTTTCTTATTATTTTTAGATGTTTACGCATTTTTTCACTTGCCACAAGGTTGAACCACGTTGAACAATCAGGTGCGGTAGTTGCTAGATAGCTGTTCTGCGACTTTGAAGTTCTTCTCAATATCGTTAAACTGACTCACAATAGGATTTCCAAAAATACCAGCCCACACGTTCAATTTCTAAGGGTTTTGTGTGTGCACCTCGTGAAAAACCCTGGAGTTGTCCTCAGCCCAGTACCGACAGTTGTGCCGATTAACAACACCGTTCAAAAAGAAAGTACACTCATCCGAAAACACACACATTAAATAGGGAATTATTATCATTCGCCACTCGTTCACTCATAGTTTCACAAAATTGCAAGCGACGATGAAAATCGTCTTCGTTGAGTTCTTGTACCAACTGAATTTTGTAAGGGTGGAACTTGTGATTTTTTTAAATCCTTTGGACACTTGTACGATTCACGCCGGTCTCATTGGCTAATTTTCTTGTACTCAGCGTACTATCCAAGGCAACTGGGCCCAATACGAATTCCTCCATAGCTTCATTGACAACATGATTTTCCCTCTGCCTCTTTATATTCATAACGGAACCAGTTTCGCGAAATTTTGCTGCTAACTCGCGAACAATTTTGCCATAAAGGTGTTTGTCAGGATAGCGTTCGTTGAATATGTGCGCAACTCGATACATTCATTATTTTTAAATAAAGTTCGATTAGTTCCACTTTTTCTGCAAGTGAGTACACCATGGTTGTTAAAAAGTTTAACGATATTGAGAAGAACTTCAACGTACAAGTCACAGAACAGCTATCTCGCAACTACTGCATCTGATGGTTCAACCTTGTGGCAAGTGAAAAAATGCGTAAATATCTGGAAATAATAAGAAAAAACAGCAAATTGGTCGAAGGAATTTATCCTTATCATTTACTCTGATAAATGTTTAAATAAACTTTTCAAATTTCAATCCTTCATATTTTCTCAATGCCTCGACCGATTTTCAAAAACGAAGCGGGGAAATATAGAGAATAGAAAGCTCTTTTCATTGCTGCGCTACTTAATCCCCCTTAATTCCCATTTGAAAAAAGTTAGGGTATGACACCCCCGCTTAGAGGGTTGAAGATTTTGCAATCATTTTTGGGGCAAAAGTTGTCTCCCTCACAAACAAAATTGACGTGTTTTTGAATTTTCTGAAAAAAAAATTACTCTGGCCGGTATGCCTTGCGGAACGTTTTCGATGGGCCACCCTGTATATAACAATGTCGACAGCTTATTAGCCAAATTATTATGGCAAAACTGAAACCTAGATGTAAGTCCATGAAGCTTGATGTAAATCCACACCCGAGTCTTTTAAAATATCGGATCCTGTCCATCTCTAGCTCCTACTCTACTAGAATGTGTTAAAACTGTATTTCGCATAAGTGTCGAGAACAAATACCATTATGGATGTTTCGAGTGGACACGGACAAGTACCACCATATACGTAGAAAGGACAATAATTATTATATTCTGCAACATATCAGCTGACGTAGTTTCTTCGTGTCTTTGGCTAATTGTGTATATCTGTTGGTGTATGAGAATATCTATTTTACATTTGCATAATAAATTTAATGTTAATTTACGCATTATTAACAATATCTATTGCATGAATTGATTTAGACTTTTAGACTGTGGGTTCAGAACTTTTTCTTTTTTTGTTAACTATTTAGAAAGTAATATTATAAATAATACTAATTAAAACATTATTTATTGCGGTTTGAAAATGGGTATTGTAAAATAGAAAATGTTTAAGTAAAATTCTATTTTCTATATAGGGGGAAATAGCCTAAATTGTACCGCTATAAAAAAAGTTTATAAACATTTTTTTCCGGTCTGTGTAATTTTGCTTTTTATTGAGAATATTTAATTTGATCTCTTTCATCAGAAATACCTATTAATTTTTCAAGATCCTTGCAAATGGTACGATTTAGGAAAGTGGTTGCTGAAGTCGTGAAACTAGGCTTCCTATATCTATTATTCTAGACATCGACATGTACATACTTAACCATAATTTTAGTATGGTTTAAAAAATCACATCATGCTTAAACTTGTTTAAAAATATCATAAATTCATTTTCCGAACCATCATTTTTAGCCGACCATACCAACAGGTATGGTAGGCTATTAAGATCGGCAAAAAAAAGTTTTTTTAATTTCACTCAAAATGAGTTATTTGGGTCATAAATGACCTAAATACAAAATATTTTCATGGTGTCTGTCTGTCCGTCTGTCAAAAACCGCTAAACCGATTTTAACCAAATTTAGCACAAAAATACTGTGGCACCCGAGAATCTCACCATTAGTTTTTAGTGGGGTGGGGGGTTGGTAAGGGGGTATGGGAGGAGGTTAAACATTTTAAAAAATCGTAACCCAAAATTAAAGTAGCTAGAGAAACGCGGTTTTCAATTTAAGATTAGGAATAATATTTGCAACAAAATTTGTAATAACATCAAAATCAGTCAAAGTCGCAGTTTTTGAGATAAAAAAAATTGGAAAAATTCCTTTACTTTGAAACTAAAAGAACTGCCTGCCAACTTTTTATTAACATGTTTTAGTATGGGCGGCTATACGTGCCTCCCGGCGCCAATTTTTATGCGATTTTAAGACTAATATTGTCATTTCATTTTGCAGGTCAACTTGTACCTTAAATCAGCATCTACTAATATTTCTGTCTACAGACCAATAACTGCATTTCCAAAGTCTCCAAACTTCATTTGTAGCATTTGATATACTTACAACACTATCGTAAGGTTTCTCTATAAACCTGCCGCTTTCCTATATCGTACTGGTACAAATTGAGCAACCATACAGAGATACTGTTTAGGCAACATTATTGAAAATAACAAAACAATGTTTAACGATGTTTGTGTGTTTGTGTTGTTTGATTTTGAGAAAAAATACAGATTATCAATTATATTCCCTGAAGCCATAGAAAATCATTTACCATAAGTCTTCGAAATATTAGAGCACAGACCCAAAGAATCTCCGATATGTGTTATTTCTTCAAGCACTCGTGCTACTTGAAAAAGATCTTAAATACTGTACCTTCTTGTGCTTTCTAAATATACCGGGTGCATCTCAAAAGTGGCTCACCCCTATAACTTTTTTCTTTTACCAGATAAAAAAGCGAGATTTGGTATGTTAGTATATGACATAAATTACGATTGATTGACGTATTCAATTCTTTTCGGCCACTTCCTGTTTCAGCGGAAATGGCTACAACTTTTGATTTTTAAATGGCACCCTCGGTATTTTTTTACTTTATTCGATAGAAAATGATATTCTGAATAGAATGACATATCATATGTCAACTTTTGACATTTTTGCTTAAGACAAAATTGAATTTTAAATTTCAATCTAGAGTGCCATGGATATGTTAAAAACACTAATTTTTAATCAAAGGGCCTTGGAAAAATAGATTTGATCGTCTAATGTTATTCGTGTCTTTTCCTGGCCGGTTAAAAGATGCCCAAATCGTATTTTTAATCATATCTCAATTTTTTCAAATTGAACAAGGGTGGCTCATTAGCGTATTTGAAAAAAGCATTTTTTTGCGAATAATTTGGTACCACACACTTGGTATTTCGAGTCAAATTGTCGTTATGAATCGCATGTAGCAATTTTAAATAAACCATATTCGAAAATGTCAAAAGTTGACATATGATATGTCATTCTATTCAGTGTGTCATTTTTTATGGAATAAAGCAACAAAACACCTAGGGTTCCATTTAAAAATTAAAAGTAGTAGTCATTTTCCGGTGAAACAGGAAGTGACAAAAAACAATTGAATACGTCAATCAATCCTAATTTATGTCATATGTTAATATACTAAATCTCGATTTTTCATCTAAAAAATAAAAAAGTTATAGAGGTGAGCCACTTTTGAGACGCACTCGGTATGGCTAAGATTCTAGGGTTGTTTGGCATTAATCCGTATTTTTCATCTGAAATTGCCATTAAAATTGTTTTTTTTTCTTCTTTGTATATTTATTTTTTTAATCCATGATTATATAGTACCAGACTACGTAATATGAAAATATTTTGAACGAAAGCGAAGCTGGAGTCACCATTTTTTTCTCTTTCTTCTCTTCTCGCTTCTTACAAGTATTATTAGCGAGTGGGAAGTTGAGCATAAAACTATCTATCCCATCCCGGTTTTATTATACCCGCAGGTTTATGATTAAAAAGCGAAAATTCCTCACACCTCCTCGACCTTGGTGCTAGATAAGCGCGGCGCGCGGGCTCGGAAACCACCTCAAAGGTCTTAAGACTGACCTATAGCGTCTCTGCGGCCTCGACCTTAGACCGTCTAACCACCTAGAAACATTTATTTCAGGGCTCTGAGGCTTCTAATTCTGTATAAAAAAAAATAGTTTTTTCAAACGTCAGAA